CACACACACACACACACACACACACACACACACACACACACACACACTACTGAAAGTAAATCTAACAGTAACCAGGTGGACGTGAAGGAGGGTTTTCAAGTTATCCCATTTAATTTCTTAACCAATGGTTTTTTGCAGAATAGGGGGGAAATGATATAAAAATGTTTGAATTTACATTAAATAGTATTTTAAAGTGATGCACATCTATAACTGGAGTAAACACGATTCAAGATGACAGCTAATCAAACTTAGCAAGCTCTAACTCAGAGGAGCCCAAAGTGGGGCCCGTGGGCCAAATTTGGCCCGCCAAGCCATTTCATTTGGCCCACCAGCAGTTATAGTTACTAGGCTGTAACCTGTCGTCCTATGTAGAAACACAGTATTTCCATTTAGTCATGTCATCTATTGGCCCAATGACTATATAAGGGGCTGTAGTACGGAAGTAGCAAAGACTCGTGGGACATTAATGTCCTATGAGCCTTTGCTACTTGAACGTATGGCAGACTTTTTCCAACTGCGCAGAGTAAAACAAAAGCGGGCCACCGCACTGGCTGCAAGTTTATTGGTTAAAAATAAAGGACTTTTACTTAAAAAGTATTTGTATTTCAAGTATTATATTACTGCCTTTGGCCCGCAGCCCCGGATAGATTTTCATTTTGGCCCTCTTGGGGAAAATGTTTGGGCACCCCTGCTCTAACTTYTCTGTACGTCAGTCAGTTTGACAGATACTGAGCTAAAGGTGCAGAGTCATTCTAAGTATTAACAGATTACACAAGATTTTTATTTAAAACTGACATGCAGGTTGGAAGGTAAAACCATTCCATCACGGAATTATAAACTTTTTATTTATTAGTAATTAGTCGGGGCATCCTGTTTGTCAGATATCACTAAGCTGCAACAATAAAGTTCATCCGAGTTCCACATTTCAAACATTATTTGTCTATAGAAGCAGAATTTTGCTCATTTCCCTCTAAGAGATCATGGATATGATACAGGAATGTAGTGAATATATTACATGTTAGCTTGGAAACCTGGGATCATTACCTGAAGTATGTTGGACTACTTCAAGGTGTTTCTTGTTACGGACCGGCTGGTTATGTATGGCGCTTGTGTAGATCTCAGTTTGTTAACGCCCCTTAGTTTGATCTGAGTTGTATGTTTTTTGTTTTTTTTTCATTGAAAAATCACAGTTTAAAAAAATCAGTCATTGTTGTGATTCTCAGGCTGATAAAGCACGAACGTTTGGAGCCAGAGTTTTCTGTGTCGGAGTGATGGACTTTGACCCCAAGCAGGTAGGAGGGCCTTTATTTTGTTCCTTTTTTCTTGTTTATCTCGCCTGTATTTGACTCCCTGCAGCTCAGAGAGAGAGCGAGAGAGAGAGAGAGAGAGAGAGAGAGAGAGAGAGAGAGAGAGAG